TCAAATGAAAATATATTAAAACATAATAATTATTCATAATTCCATGTGACATTTATGTATTTGTATGTTTGTCATGTCTTTGTTTGCCATTTTTCATTGGAAATCTTGATATTTGCTCAACTTGACATTGTTTATTAAAGTTTCAAATTGTTATTTCTAATTCAATTATTCTTTAGAGTCATATTTTCAATGAAGCAATTAATCCAGTTGATTTGTTTGCTCAGACCTATTCATTTTTCAAGTTCATTTCAGCAATTCGAGTAAACAACCAGTGCATTCTTCAAAATATCTCCTTTTGTGTTCCACACAAGAAAGTCATATGTGTTTTGAACATAGATTAAATGATGACACAATTTTCTTTTATTTTTTTGGTAAAAAGTTTCTGTAGTTGCTGTAAAATGAAGCAATTGATGGATTTCAGAAAGATGCTCAAATAAGCAGAGGAGCATTTCATCAAGATGCAGACAGCAGGGCCACAGATTGGAAAAAAAAAGTTCAATGTATTGATGCGAGGCACAGAAGTGGCTTCCCAGGAAAAGTGGTGCGTCAGCTGCAGGTTTGATGTCCAGGCTCTTGCCCAAGGGGAGGCAGGTTGGCACCCAGAGATATTGACATGGGGACAGATCATTAGCCCTCTCTATCCACCCTGCCTCAGTCCCACGTCTCTGTTAAAGGTGCCAGTGTGTGCTGTTAAGGTGCCAGAAGTTTCGCCTGTTAGGCATAACAGGTAAGAAGACCATGATTCCCGATTGTTCCGCCCATTAATCTGCCATTGTGAGCATGACAAGAAGTGCAATTATTTCCTAATATGACACTGCGTTTAATGGCATGGTGGAGTTCAGAATTTCTTATGTGTTGCTGTTTCTCTGTAGGCACATGAAATATGATTACACGTTAGCGAAAATGAGATATTGCATAGAAATACAGGAGATTATTGATTTAGAGTAGGCAGCACCGCCGCAAGATGGAAAAAAAATAGCTCGATTGAGCAGTGATTTTGGTGGTGTAATGATAATTGCAGCTTGAGGTGGAGATAAAGTTTCTCAGACAGGCCAACTGAAACCGTCATACCTGGATTTCTCCCAAGAACAAGAATTATGTGCTAATGATAACTTGAAGAATGTACTTCAGTATTGTGTTAGATGGTGGATACTTTTGCAAAGCAGAATCACTTGGCCTTGCAATGAGCTGTTAGTGCAGCAGTATTTCTGCTTCGGGTGCTTTTATGTCCCAAGGCATGATTTTTGCTAAAAAATATATATATTATACATATTTTTTTTTCCATTTGTTATATGTGGGTCACATGAAGATCTTTCTTTGCTTTTGCTACTTTAAAAAAAAAAAAAAAGATTGTATCCTCGCCTCAGACCTATACATTCAGTCCCTGAAAACCTGAAACTGAAACTTAAAAATAGTTATTGCATTCTAAAACTCTAAAATAAAATAAGTATTGAAATAATGTGTGAAAGTAATTATTTTATTTTATTAATATATATATATATATATATATATATATATATATATATATATATATATATATATATATACACAGTATATATATATATAACATTCTTTTTTACATGCATTTAACAGAAGAAAAAAAAAAATTCAATTTTGGATAAATATGCCTTTAATAGTAATATTTTATTATTAATGGTAATTGCCAAGGCATTTAATTCATTTGATTATATTTTTAATCAATTACCAATTATGTTGAACTGCAAACATTCATCATGGCAGGAAAACACCACATAGCAATTTTTCCACACAATTGCATAGGTACAGCGATTTCAAAGTCTGCACTTTCTCTATGAATCTCATATGATGCATCTAACAGCAAATAAATCAAGCATGCATCATGTTAATGCACTGAGGTGTCAAAACTGTAATGCAGGTCAAAGGAGAATAAAAGTGTTTTGGGATTGTTTCTAATAGCAAATCATCACCTCAGCATGTGCATATCAAAACTAAGTGAGACTGGCAAGCTGGCAAAGTTCAGCATGCTTTAAATAGCAGCACTTAGGAGTCCCTCTGAAGCGACGTGAGGATGCAATGCTGAGAAAATATGGATGCTGATAGTAAATGTAGTAAGTTTACCATTAATTCAAGTGACAGCATTTATCCGTAAAACTTTATTTTATTTTATTTTTCTTTACTTTTTTCTTACTATTTTATTTTTTCTTATTTTATTTTATAGTATTTTATTTTAAAAACATTTAGTTAATTAAGTGTTACTTCGACTTCTTTCTCATTCATTCACATTCACAGCTGCTTTTATAGCTGTTGTGTGAACAGGACAATTCAGAAGTCACACCTGTTAGTAAATATACTCGTCAATCCCAAACATTGTGTCAACGTAGCCAGTGTGTGATATCCTCAGTGTCTGCTGTATTTTTTTTCCCTTCTGCAAACATTTTCCAAGCCACTCTCTCTGTGACTCCCCACCCCTCTCCACCCGGGTGGATGGAGGAGGGGGGTGTTATCCAGGCTGGCAGCCCAGAGCACCCTTTCTGAAGCTGCTCTGAAGAGCATGGTCTAGGTAATCTCTGCTCAGCTGAAAGCCATTTACAGAGAGAAGGAGACAGAGGAAGAGGTTATACTGGGGAGAGAGGATGCAATGGAGAGTGACGGAGAGAGAGAGAGAATGAAAGAAAGAAAGAGAGGCAGGGGATATGAAAGAAGAGCGAGAACAGAGCCCAGGCAGAGGATGATAAGGCCAGGGGGATTTCGTTGCTGTTTTGGGGTCAGATTAGGAATGGGGTCTTGCTTTTGTCACTTGAGGAGAGAAGGAGAGAGAGAGACACACATCTGAGAAGCAGACAGAACAGTGTTGCATTGTGAACTCCTGAAAGTCCCTCTCTGCGTTTGGGTCTTTTAGTCCAATGTAAATTAATGTTCCAGTTCCATTTGATCTTTACATAGATTTTATGGCAGTACGCAACAAATATAATAATGTTTTCATATTTTTCTATTAACATACTCATACTTTTATTATTATGATTTTTTTTGCTTCAAAAATAATAATGTACAGCCAAAAATCATATTTCTTGTAGAGTAGCATTTATTTGTTCCTCATAACTGTTGGACCTGCGCCTTCCTTTCAAACCAGTAGTCATCAAATCCTCTGTAAATATTGTTCTGATGTGTATTTTTAAATGAACAATCATAAAATCAGCTTACTCACAGGATGTAATTGTAAGTACACTTTGATCTGGTTGTGACTGAAAGTGGTGATGTGAGTGGATGTGTTTTTAACTTTGTAATTAGTCATTTAACGAGTTTATTCCATTGGTGCTGATTGTAAACGGCTTGCAAATGTAAAAGGTGGGTTCATATTGTCAGCATACTGTAATCAGCCAGTAACAGTGACATGGAGGCACTGACTTCTCTCATGTGACTGTTTCTAAGTATTTCACTGTTCTTCAAGGGAGAGAGACACTGCCGCCCTATTAAACTTTATCCACTGGTATCCTTGTTTCAAAACATTGTTGAAAATCCACAATCAAATAGGTCCATTGTCAACAGTGTAGCGATGCATGAAGCACATCTCACACAGAAGTCAGTTTCAAACAAAGAAGCGTTTTTTGTTTTTTTTTGGTTAATGAAGCAAATTCGCTTGAATCTGATGAAAAGTCTGTGGGAATTCCTGTTAAAATTGCTGAATTTTGCCAATAGAGAAAACGGATTAATGTGACCGTACCTTTTAGACAGTGTCACTTTAGTTGGCTAATACAATATTCAGTCTCATATTTTGTAATATTCATACAGATTATTTTTTTTTGAATACTTGATTATTGCTCATCAGAATCTTTTTGTGGTGGCACTGCCTCCGCAGAATAAAACGTTCCTGAGAGAGAAGTATGGAAAAAAAGAGAGAATGAGAGATTGGACAACAACTGAGAGACCAAAAGATAGAGTTGGTTTACAGTGCAGTGTTGCCATGTTGATCATCAGTTCTCCATCAAAGGCAGTTCAGAGATAAAGTGATCTAATAGAGCTGTCGAAACACATACTCAAATATTCAAGACAAACGCTAGCCTGTAAAAAACGCTTAAGGGAATATTTTACCCAAACATGAAAATTCAGTTATTATTTACTCAACCTCATGTTGTTACAAACTTATAAGCTGTTATTTTTTTCAGTGAAACATACAAAAATATTTTTAAACAACATTCACATTGATTTCAGACTCTATAAAATCACCATAAAAGTGGTCCATATGACATACAACCTTCACCACAGATGCCATATTTGATTTGAAAACTGCAGCGTAAGCGAAAAGTCAGTAATTAATTACTTAAATTTTGGTCTTTTCAGCACACAAAGCTATCTGAAGCTGGCTTCAGAAAACTTAATATAGCACAGAAGTCATATGGGCGCCTTTTATGGTTCTTTTTTGGGCATTTAACAGCCTGTGTTCACCATGAACGTGTCGAAGTATGTGGAGATTCATTATGTTCTTGAGTTCCACAAAAAGTATAACAGCCTATGGGTTTCGAACAGCATGAGGGCGAGTAATTAATGCCACAATTTAAATTTATAAGTAAATGATTTTATTAATGCATTCCCAAAAATCATTAAAACTGCAAAAACTCATTGTATTGCCATGCAAAGCGCAATGAAGCTCATTATCTGCCTGGTTCTGTTGCTACAGTAAACAATCGTGCACTAACTGCAAGGTTAAATAAGGTATCTAGTTTACCCAGTGGTGTCACATGACTGAATAACAGTGAGAAAACTCTCCCATTCGTGTGTCGAACTTTTAAAAGTACAGCATCTTCCCACGTGTCCTTTATTCTCATCACAGGTTCCCTCCCTCCGCTGCTTCCCCATTTCTATCTTACCATTCGGCTTCATCCTCGTTCTCCTCTGTGTTTCAGTTTCTTTTCTTGTGTTTTTCTGTATGTGCCGGCTCTTCGTCACCCCTCCCTTTCTCTTAACTGTGCTTTCACAGCTGACTGTTCTCTCTTTCTCTCTCTCCCGCTCTTCCACCCGTGCAGGTTCATCGGACAGAGCGACTTGCCACGCTCCGACTGCCCCCTTCTCCCCACAGTGAGTATTGTCATGCTAATTTTACTGATCGGGACCGCATAGAGAATTTCCGTGGTCGTGGTTTGCTTTTTCCGCGTTCTGCGCTTATCTGTTTTGGAGGGGGACAGTCGAAATGTGTGATGCATGAGAGGAAAGAAAGGGAAAATGGAGATAGAAAGAAAAGGAGAGAGCAGAGTTCATGTGTGATTGTCTGAGTTTTGAGAGTTGAGCTCTGTGAGATTGACACATCTTTGGATTGGGGCTGTAAAAGTTGTGCTGTGTGTATGTGGAAAGGTTAAACATGGATGAAAAGGTGCTTAAAGAGGCTCAATCTCAAATTAGTTTAATCAAAAGCCGTGAATCTTTTTATGCAAGTTGACACGTACATTCCCTTTGGTGTGTGTGAGTGTAAACATACTGTAACAATGCTTTGCATTTGAGTACATGCAGGTAGAAAGTGCTTTATCGTTTCTTTTTTCTTCTCTGACAATTTATGTCAGTGCTGCATGAATTTAATATTGCTTTGACCTTAAAATGCTTCAGCTCATTTGAATTATATCCTTCAATTTTTGTAGGAAAAGTCCAAGATTCTATTACAGAGCAAAGCTTGAGGCGTTCACATTTATGCACATGCTAATTTTTTTTCTTTTCGAAATTTTCACATACCTTAATATTTTTACAATTTAGTATACCTTGAAATTACAAATCCTGCCCCATGACAAAATACCTTTATCTGCTAACTGGCAATTTAGGACAGCACTTTTTAGACAAGGCCTGCAGGTGATAAACAGACAGGGTGGTGAATTAATGGCAGACAGTCTTTAATTCAGTGACACAGGCTGAAAGCAAAGGAAACACCATGTCTGATTGGTGTAAATATGCATGAAGAAATGAGAGGAGATCCTTTACAAAGGTTTTTTTTATAGTTGTCTTTGCAACATTATAAAATCATGGACTCTTTTATCTCTGTTAACATTAACATGTAATGGATGTGAAGTAAGCGTTACAAAATGGTTCAAATTGTTAGCATTAGTTAAGCATCTTTGACTAATAATGAACAACTTTTTAATATAATTTAATAATCTAGGCTAATATACCATTGTTCTTCAGGTTCATTCATAATATATTAACTGATTAATTTATACAACTAGAATGTCAAATGTGCATTTGTATATGTAGAATTGAACAATAATACATTATAATAAATGCGACTGCATTAACTAGTGCTAACAGTGTTACATATTTGCTAAACAGAAATTGAGCTGCTGGAGAAGATACAACGCCTAACATCACAGAACCAAACAAAAGAAAGTTTGACTGGAAATGCTGAGTAAGGATAAGACTATCTAAACCCAAGCAGACTGCTGTTGTTTCTTTAAAAAAAAAAAAAGGAAAGTGTCTTGTATCATAAAAAACCTTCAAACAGTGCTATTGATTCGATGCATACAATAAAAAGGAGAAAAACAAAGATATATGTGTGAGGCTTATAATTTATCTTTTGCTTTTCTCTGCAGTCTGAGCGTGTGGCAAAGCTTGCCAATGTCAGCAAAGCTAACATTACTTACTCCTCAACAAATTTGTTAGTCATTGCTCAGAGCCGGGCTCTCGCACATGACTTGGATGGCCGTTGAGATGTGGTGTATTGAAGGGGAAGGAACACACTCTGGCCCAAAGCTCAGGCCCGATGACACAGAGCGAGCAAGGTGGAAAGGTGGAATTCTCCTCGAACTCTCCTCGAGAGTCGCAGGGCTTTCAAGGTGAATTTGGACGAGAGGGATTCCGCTGCTTAATCTGTACAGACAAAACATTGTTTCCGGAGGCGATCCTTCACTAAAAGATCCCCAAGGCTCGGGGATAGCATCACAGAGGTTTAATCGTGAAACAAACTAGTAACCTACTCTGGTCATGTATTTTGCCTAGAGCTTTTCTGAGCACTGTGGAATCAGACAAAAATGCATCCAAGCTTTTCGTGTGGAAAAAGCACACTGAAGCCTAGCTGAGTACCATGGGATGTTTCAAATCGAATATCAGCATCTGGCTATGAGGTTGAATTTTTTATTATTGTCAAATGAACCAGATGTACAGTTGGTTGTGTTTCAGCATTTTGACGCCTTTTATTTTTTACTTTTGACAAAGAAAAAAATATATATACTTGCCAACTCTTTATTTACTGTATGCTAGAAAGAGAACCGGAAATGTTGCAAGGCGAATTCGAAGTCTCCCACATGAATAATATAGCCCAGCATGTATGCATTGTGGTTTTTTTTTTTTTAGTTTGGCTTTGATGTGGGCTCTGTTACCTCCGTATCGATACCTCAGGCTACAAATAAACAGCCTCGGGCTACTGATAAAATGTATTTTTTGTATACAGCGCAACCATAATGAATGCAAACCGCCAGGCCACAGCTTCGACAATAGATGCACATTATCTTGCAATAGCTTTCACACAATGCGATCATAACAAATGCTTGATTTTCTCTCACGGCTACACATAATATCCTATCCGTGTGTATTCTGCCATATGTGCGAGCACATGCCTCGCTGAAATCTTTAGAGAGCGAATCCATGCACCAGTAACACCCCTCCAGTGTCTTGCAAACCCTCATGTTGTGACATTTCTGCTGCGAGACAGTGTAAAGTTCTCTTTTGAGGCTCTGTCACAGTTTTTGCCCTGTGTAATGTAGTTTTGATACAGAGACTAGATCAAATACTCTGTGATCTTTCACGCTTAAATTATTTAAGGTCCCAAGATTTTTTAATTTAATATCATGCACATCGATATCTAGCCTCTCTCTTTCTGGGGATTAGACTCGCTCCTCAATAAGATATGATGCAGGTCTCATTTTTACATTGTGCCATGCTGTAATTTTTCTGCTCATTTGGAATGTGACTACTTGTTTCTTTTCCTTTATTTATTAGGTCTGATGACTTACCTTTGAGACAGATCGATGCTGTCAGTCACTATAAATGAGAACCACTCCACCAATTATAGATGATTAAGTTAGCCTCCACCAGTCAGAACGCTCAAATCCCAGGTGTTTGCGAGCGGCTCGTCTGCTGGTACAGAATTTGACTGAATACCTGAAAAGAATTACAAGGGTGGCGTTACCCATCACGTCGGCCGAAAAATGAACCGTGTGAGCGTGACAATTCTAGTTTGTCAGATGCACAGCAGAACATATGGAAGTTTCATAAAGTAACATGAAATAAATCTGCAAGACAACATGTCTGTTCCATTTCATTAGATTTATAAATTTGTGTGACACTCTCAACATATGTGATGAGAGAAAAAATAGATTGGGCCTTTTGCACTACAGCAGATGAAAAACATTTAACCTTTTTAACTTATTTAACCGATTTTTGCTCTTTCCAAATGTATTTCTCATATGAAACTTTTTAAAGTGTTTCAGCACACAGGGCACACACTTTTAGTAATGAACTGACAAAAGCAACAGTTCTTGTTTTGGCTAGTTGGGATTTCTATGTTGTTATGGCTACAAAATCAAATCAGTAACCACCATGACAATTTGCACAGACTTGGGCTTCACAGACATGCAAATATGTAACGCAAACATTGCAATCAATTAGACGATAATATCCGAGTTTTGTCATTTACTCTGTTTTCTTTCATATTATCAAGGAAATCCTCTTGCATGCCACAGTTGCAGTGAAATTGACACTTGTCAGAGCTACAACTGAGCACCTCTTTGTTCTACCACTCTCATTAAATGTGGATGGTGAACTTGCTGCAGATTGCCTGGAGATTGCCGCTCTCTCTGTGTAGCAGAGAAGCCTCTGTCCGTAGATGAGGTGCGATTGACATTTCTCACTGGCCCTCCGCGGGGTGTCTGTAAGGATCTTGAACCCATTCAGACTGGCTCCGAAATCAAATCACTGCCACCGCCACCGGTTTCAATGGCCACATCAATTATTTAGCACTGACTCGAGTGATCCAAAAGGTTGGGGGAATTTGATCTTGCAGGTACCTCTGGCTAGCAGGACCTTTGACATCAGTCTGTGCAAAAGGGGAGGATAATGATAATGTACCAAAGGTTAGTCACTTTATGCTGATTTGTGTGTAGAATGGCCCTTATTGATGCTCGTTCCAAAAAAATGATGCTAATTGTGGCGAAATATTCTCCTTTGTGCATACTCCAGCGTATCTCCCATGGATGATGAATTTTCCAGAAGAATGTCCTCGATTCCTCCAGTTGGTAATGTTTTGGAGGTAGCTTGGGGTTATCTGAGCTAATTAAAGTTTGATTTGATCAAAGTACACTCTTTTTCAGCTTGAATTTTAATTAGACGATGGGTCACTGGTCCCCGGTCCATTGCAAGGACATCTGCAGACTTTCTAACGTAATCTGAGACTCTTTTCAATTCAATTTAGGGGATTTAATAGACAACGGTGGCTTTCGGACAGTGCGCGGGGATAACCATCTCGTCTACCGACTTCCCGTCGGGACAAAGGGGGCGGCACTCTCCCGAGATGATCCACGCGTGCCCGCTCCGGGCAATGTCGCAATGGCGACTCACGCTCCCTTCGACCCATTACTGCAGACAATTGAACCCGCTATCACCGCCACGACAGAGGGACTGTGTTAAACGCCGGCAAGCTGGAATCGCCGGCTTATTTGTCCCTCTGCTATCTGTCACCGGCACGAGCTCTGCCAGCATATGCAGAGTGCCTTTTCATAACGATAAAAATCTGCGAGCTGACGCGCAGGACAGATATCTGCAACAAAAGGATGAATGCGGCGGAAGAGACCCCTTCCTAATGCCCCCCTTTCCACTGCTTCCCCGAGATGGGAGTGAATTCCATGGCAGCAGAATCAATTTGCAGCTTGGGGCCCGTTTGTGGGAGTATTGCTTTTTATGTGATATGATCTTTGCTTTACATTTCCGGAGGTCAGTACAGACACAGAAACAAGGTCAAGCGAGACTTGATCGACAGTTTCTCTGTCTGTGGCGGCAAAACAATTACCCACTTGGGGATGGCGTGGATATTAAACCGTTGGGCT